CGCCCCTTGCTGGCCAGGCCTGGAGTCACCAGAGCCCCTCCCCCGCACGCAGGTTCTGCCCCCTTTCCCCAGCGCCCCTGCTGGCCAGGCCTGGAGTCACCAGAGCCCCTCCCCAACAACCAGGCTCTTCCCCCTCCCAGGACCCCTGCTGGCCAGACCTGGAGTTAGCAGGATTTCCTCCCATAACCCCCTTTGGTTACCTGGTGCTGCCTGCGTTTCCGGCGCTGGCATCAAGCTGATCTGGACGGTGCTGACTGGGGGGGCCAGGACATCCCCAAACATGCAGGGGGGGGTCGCGGGGTGCTCGGCCTTCACTCCGATCACGGCGTCTGGGCTCGCGACCTGGGTAGAGTCCCGCCCCCCCCCGCTTTATGAAAATGGGCTTATGAACATGCATGGCTCAGAGATGCCCTGAGCACGCCCAGGCCCCGTAAGCCCAAACCACGGTCGCTCTCACAGATGTGTGGCCGGGCGACGGACTGATTTGGGGCTTGGGGCCTGGTTTCCTGAGTTGCCAGAGCTGAGCTGGTTCAGTGTCGCTCTCCTGGGGGTCTGACACTCCAACTCTGGGCCTTGGCCAGGGAGACCAGAGCTTCTGGCACAGGGCAAGGGGGGGGCCCAGAGAGCAGGAAGAGGGGCTCAGTGGTGTGACCAGCACAGCAGGGAACAGTCCTCAAGGGACCCCTGTGACCCAACCCGTGGCAAAGAGTCAGAGCCAGGTGTCTCCCAGGCCCGTGGGGGAGGCACGTACCTGTCTCAGGGGGTCGGGGGTCATGGAGAGGGCAGAGGAGTCTGAGCTGTGGGAGGAAGCAGGGGACACAGGCTCGGACTTCACCTGGAGGTCTGCGTTGGGGAGGGGAGGGGATTAGAAAGTAGTCCCTCAAAGATTCCCCTCAACTCCCTACATCCACCCCCCAGGGCAGCCCCACTGCACACAGACATCCCTCTGCCCTCTTCCCCAGGCAGCCCCACTGCACATAGACAACCCTGCGCCCCCTTCCCTGGGCAACTCCACTGCACACAGATATCCCTCCGCCCCCTATGTCCACCCTCTCCTCCAGGCAGTCCTACTGAACACAGATATCCCTCCACCGCCTATGTCCACCCGTTCCCCAGGCAGCCCCACTGCGCGCAGATATCCCTGCCTCAAGGCTAGGGGAGGGGGTGCTCACCCGAAAAGAGGCTGGTTGGTATCTGGTCCCAGGGTGGCTCTGGGGGGCTGGCGTCCATGCCCAGGTCGAAGCTGTCATCAAACTGCAGGGCAGAAGGCAAATGGGGGTGAAGTGGGCTCAGGGGTGTCTCTCCCCAGGAGCTTCATCCTGGCTCCCTCCCAGTGGAAAGGGGGCCCGGCGCTGAGGGGGAACCGGGCCCCCGTTGCCTGGGGGGATGTGTAGTGGGGGCTGTGGAGCAGGCAGGTCGCTGGGGGCACCCCAGAGGGGTAGGGGCAGGGGCTCACCATAGCATTGGGCTCCAGGCAGGTGAAGAGGGCGGCATGTTCATCCCCATCCTCCAGGCAGTTGTAGAGAGCTGCATCTGGGGGGCCGGGGAGGCAAAAGGCAGGCAGGCAGTCCCTGTCCCCCAGACCCCCCCTCCTCCAGGCCCCGC